CATTTTGTTAATGACTGATTTTTGAAGTTAAACCTACATTCATGGAATAAATATGAAAATGGCAATATGTTCATTGCTTGTATGATTTGTTTTAGTACTTCACATTTGTATTTGAGTAATACTGACCTAACGTTTTCCTTTATTATGATATCTCTATCAGGGTTTGTATCAAAATTATGCTGTCCTCTTAAAGTGTGTTGGGAAGTGGTACCTCTTGTCCTGTCCTCTTGAAGTGTTTGTATAAATTTGGAATTATTTCTTAATAGTATTATAATATCTGCTAGTGGATCTTATGAACTTAGAGCTTTGATTGAAAGAAGATTACTATGTATAGATCAATTACTTTGCTATAGGACTGCTTATATTTTCTATTTCTTCTTATGGGTGTTTTAGAAAATTATATTTTCCAGGAATTTATTTTCTCTAAAGTTTTATAATTTTTTGTCATATTCCTTCTTGTTTTTGTTTTTTATAATATCTTCATTACCTTCTCACTGCTTGTAGAATCTGGTGATAATAACATTTCCATTTCTGACATAGGCTATTTGTGCATAATCTATCTTTGATTCATTTCCTGAGGTATTTATTAATTTACTTCACTGAGGGTTTATTTTCTTTCTGTTGTTTTTTCATCAGGGATTCATTATTCTTTTTAAAGAACTTGCATTTAGTTTTATTGGTCCCCTTCATTGAAAAAAAAATATGTATACACATATGTATGTGTGTGTGTGTGTGTATGTATATATATATATTTATTTCATTTTATCAACTTCCTACTTTATATGCTTAAAGATACGTATTAGCACTGGAGTGCTAACAAGGTCGAAAAAAATTTAGAGGTCCCATGTAGGGCAAGGTAGAAGTTCCAGATGGGAACAATCCACTTTATATATTGTATTTGCTATTCACTCTCCTCTCACTTTCTGTCTTATTTCAATGTAATATTTATGTACAAATATTTGTTGAACAGATGAATAGCAATTATAGTTACCCCACAGTGACTGTTTTTCTCTTTAACCATTAGTTTATGGGTAGAAATAGATTACATGGTTACTTAGTATCTGTTGTGGGGGGGAATCTAGATAGAGAAACTAGGACTGCTATTTCTGATCTCTTATGCTGGTTTTTTATTTTTATTGACCCCAAATTGTATTATAGTGACTGTAGAAAATTATGCTAATTTCCTGGGCTGATTTATTAGTAACACAACTCTGAATAAACATAAAACTTAAAGGAAGTCATCTTGACAGGGCCCAGAACCAGACCTAAATAAATAAATGTATAAAAATTTAGAAAAGTAAAAAGCTCTTTATTTTTGCTTCCACATTCTAGAGAAGAAAATGTGCTCTTTAGAGCACTCCACTCTCTTAGAATGTTTAATGACATGAATCAGTGTGAATTTTTAAGTGGGTCCTTAAGTATTTTGTTTATTCATTTATTTTCTTATTTATTTTTGTGCATGCTTTAATTGATTCATAGTTGTAGAGTTCTTTAATTCAATATATAACATGTATCTACTTTCACTGAAATTTCACAAATTGTGTGCTCATTGAAGTGTGGTGCCTTTCCACTTATAATTATTTAAAGAGAGGGACATAGAGTGATGATAACTTTAGATATTAATCCCTGGATTAGCTTTCTAGACACATTAGCAATGAAATAGAAAGTATTTTGCAAGTTGATACAAAGAAGAGCAGAAAAACATTAAGACTCACAAACCTGTCATTGGTTTGGCAGTGAAATACATACTTAAAATCTTATTCTTAAAAGGCATTTTAGGTTAAAAAAGAAAAAGTCACAGCTTTTTATGGAATTTCCCTGGTTTTTATCTTTAAGGTGAAATTTAAGACTACTTACTGCAAAAGATGTTGCCATGAATATAGTTTTTGGTTTACCTGAAGCACATTCCCTTAATATGCCAAACATAGGCAGTTAGTAGTTAAAGGATTTGTGAATCTTGTTCTTAGTGTGGTGTATGTGAAAAATGATTGATGGTCAAAAAGATTAATAGAGAAAAGCAAATTCTTACACAGTTTCTTCAAAGTGCCATCTAAATGTGGAAAAAGGAATAGCAAAGATGATATAGTATGATAGAATGTTATTTGACATTTATATGTCAAGAGAGCACTAATAATATGTACTTGTTTATCACATATTAGTTTTCTTTCAGATAATTATGGCTTGTTTTATTTAAAATTTGTTATTATTCTAGAAATTGGCCATTTCTCGTGCTTCTTATATTTGTAGAGATTACAGATTACTTTTGTGCTATTTATAGCAAAATACTTCAACATTGTTCTAAACAGTGCTGTCTGAAAGAACTTTATATAATGAAAATGTTTCCAGTGTTTTCCATTATAGTGGTTACTGGTCATACATGGCTGTTGAGCACTTGGAATGTGGCTAGTGCAACTGAGGAGATGCATTTTCAAATTTATTTAATTTTAATTAATGTAAATTTCATATTAAATATCCACATGTGGCTGACTACCATAGTATACAGTATGCTGTTTACATTTATCTGAGTTAAAACATGTAAAATACTTAACAGTTTTCAGATAATCAGTACTTATCATCATTTATTGTTGCTGTTATTAATATTATTATGTGTTTATAGTATATTTGGGAAATATGTTGGTCACATGAATTCAGTTAACAAGAATATTATGCACATCTTAAATATTATGCACAAAAAACCCTAAGAATCAGCTATATTCATTAGGATCCATTCTTCTGACATTCACTGGCTTAAAAAAAAAAAAATGATTTCAGTGGATTCTGTGTCCTGTGTGAAATTTGAGATCTTTTCATGATTTAAAGCTGAATTATATAATTTGTGAACTCCGTATACTTCTTGTTCTTCTTTCCTCTATTTTTCTTCCTTTTTATATTTTTAAAATCACAATGATGCAGATTTGGACTTACATTAAAAAGTTGTCAGAGGAAGAACAATGCAAATTAAAACAATCTTTTTATTCCTGAATGTCACATTCAGTTATGAAAACAACAAACACATACCTCTTCTATCTATTGGATAGGAAAAAAATCAGTTCCATTATTTTAGTTTCATAGAATCACCATATATATTTATAAGACCTCACAAAATGTTTGATTTAAACGTTTTAGGGGGCACACAACTTGCACCTGAAAAAAATTTTAATTTAAGAATACCTTAATTTCTGATCTCTATTGATTTTCTGTTGTTACCCTCAGTTTGGAGCTACCTCTATGTCATGAATTTCCTCAGTACTCCTATGAAACAAGCCTAATCTGGATAATCATTGCTATTATTTCTTTTGAAAAATGGCATTTTTCCTACATTTCTCCTATAGTAGCCCTGAGGTCTTTTACTAAAACCGTATTTGAATTTTAACACACTCCTGTTCTTTAAGCTTAGGCAAAGCTGAATGTTTCTGGATGATAGTTTTTGTTTTGTTTTGTTTTGTTTAAGACTCATTTATTTGAGAGAGCACCAGGAGAGGGAGAGAAAGTCTTGAGTAGACTCCTCACTGAATGTGGAGCCTGAAGCAGGGCTTGATTTCATGACCCTGAGATCACCATCTGAGCCCAAATCAAGAGTGGAACGCTTAGCCAACTGCACCACCAAGGCACCCCAATGATAGTTTTAAGCTAAAAAAGTGCAGCTTCCCCAAATGTATAGGTACTGCAATGTTAGGGGCCAAACTTCAATGATAAGAATAAGTAATCCTCTTTTGTGTGTATTTTTCTAGGATCAAAAATTTTGACTTCAATAAGAAAGCAACAGTTAAAAGATAATCAGAGAGCGTGCAACTAGAATGCAGTTAATGGACTTCAAAACAATTAACAGGGATAAAATTTGAGATTAATATGTTGGAAGGTTAATGAACAATAATATATTTCTTCCCAGTCTGTAGTTTCACAAAAGGCACTAATAAGTTAGTAGTGAACCTTATATTGTATACAACTGACCTTACATTGGGCTGAGGAATGTCGTAAATGATCATGTGATAGAGATTCATGAACTTTTATTCTTCTCTCCAAACCCTTAAGAACAGAGGACTGGCAGGTTACTGATCACTAATTTTGTCTGTATCCAGTAGACTGCAAGGAAACATTCCCCTTATTATTATTTAAAGCAGATGCACATAGTTGCTTGCTATATGGTTATGTCCCCTTCTTGATCTAACTATCCTCTAATTTTGTTCAAGTATCTACCCTTAAGTCCTTGTCAGTGAGCTTCACTGATCCGTTCTCAGCCTAGCAGGTATAGTGAAGGGTGTCAGCCAGCCATGGTGGCCTCATCACCTTTCAAGAGGTTGGCTTGGCATGGGGTCCATGTCTCTCCTGGCCAGTAAGAGTGCTGTTGCTGGGAGTGCAGCCTGATAAGGGTTTTCTTGTTCGTAAAAGGTGACACAAGAGAAATTACCCCTTTTTCTGCCTCCAAACTTCATTGTGAATGCAACAGTGCCACAGCCTATAAAGCTATCCTCTAACTTGTAGGGGAGCTAGCCTGAGAACATAATCTAGAGCTGAAACTTAAAAATAACCAGAATCCTTGCTGAAGGCATGGAGCTTTTGCAAAAACCAACCAAAGAAAGTGCTCTACCTCCCAATTTCCTGATTTTAGGGATTTTAACTGCAACATTATTTAAACAATTGAAATAGGGATTTTTCAGTTTCTTGAAGTCCAAAGCTTTTTAACTCATGTATTTCAGTATTATTTTTATATCTATATGAAGATATGTGTTAAATAATTATTTGAATAAAGGCATGATTAGGATGACAATTTCACTTTTTTTTTCAAGATGCAGAAATAACTTTTACTCATAATTATGTGGATTAGGACTGGTGTAATTTGCCCATTCCTGCTAATTTGTATATTAATTTATTCACTTATTCTTGTTTCTAAGCTCTATCTCATTTAAGTAAGCATTTTAACACTTATATTCAGGATACAAAACAGTTTGATTTGTAATTTTAAAAAATGACCATGATAAAATCAAAGGAAAATAGGAAACTCAAGGAGAACATTTTATTAAAATATTCAGATACACAAAGAATATAAGTTCTGATTCAGATTCCATGAAAACATCTAATATATTCAGTAAGAAAATTTATTTGTAAATGTAATAATTGCACTAGTATTCTGAACTTCTATTTTTACTATTGCATAGATGAGTTTCTATCAGATTTCAGAGTAGGATTTTCTATAAACTACATACCCTAGATCATACTGGATTTGGATGGTACTATTTCAGATGATTAGATATGGTCTCCAGGCATCCTGATGTGCCATATAATGGATTTGAGAAGGAGTATACAGAACTCTAAAAAAAAACAAACCACATTGAAAAGGTTAGGATTTTAAGCATTAAAGTAACAGACTTCTTTCCAGATCATGCAGAATACAATGAGTTTTAATGGATTTCCACTGAAGTAATAACTAGAGCATTCCTGACTTTCCCCCCATTACCTACAATCCACACTGCCTACACCGCTGACAGGCCTTCGGTCGGTGTGTGTCCTAGGCCCTTGGGGCATGAGAGTCACTGCCTTATCCTCACCTCTGGTGGAATGGGGACATACAGTGGTAGGATCTTGACTACCTCTTTTCTGTGGTCCTGGTTTCTCTAAGTCTGCTGTATTGATCATAGTTGAGTTAAACAAAACAAATACAAAACAAACAAACCTGACTTTTAGTTGAGAGAGTTATATTTTATAGAGTATATTAGAAAACCTAAAATTTGCTAAGTTCTAATAGGACAAACACTGATTTCTTCAACGAAGAACATGTAAGGAAAACATGAGAGAGAAAATGGAGCCTAGAGATTAAAAGAGTCTTAGGAGACATGTCTGTCAGTTTGGATGATATACCTTTATATTCATCCTGATTTTAAAAATATAGCAACAACAACAAATATAACCCCCCTATTTATTTACAAGATAGTGGGGATAGGTTGAACACTGATTGAATATTTAATGGCATCAAGGAATTACTAAATTTTTAGGTATGATACTGTGGTTATATTTTATAAAGTCTTTATCCCTTAATATTAAAATGTAAGTCTTTACAGGTAAAACCTAATGATGTGTGGGATTTGTTTAAAAATACCCTGGTTAAAACCAAGAGTGAACCCTAATGTAGACTATAGACTCTGGATGGTGGGTAGATAGATTTGTCAGTGTAACAGATGTACTATTTTGTTGTAGGATGTTGACCATGTGTTTGTGTGTGTGGGGGGGGAGATATATGAGAACTCTGTGTGTCTTCTGCCCAGTTTTGCTATGAACCTAAAACAGCTCTAAACGCGCCTGGGGGGACCTCCTGGGTGGGCGCCTGGATGGGTCAGTGGGTTGGGCCTCTGCCTTCAGCTCAGGTCATGGTCTCAGGATCCTGGGATCAAGCCCCATGTCAGGCTATCTGCTCAGCGGGGAGCCTGCTTCCCCTCCCCCGCCTGCCTCTCCGCCTGCTTGTGATCTCTCTCTCTGTCAAAATAAATAAATAAAATCTTTAAAAAAAAAAAATGAACCAACACTACCATTCTGGTGTGTAATGGGAATGGGTGGTAGTAGAGATGAAACAAGAATGATAATGGGTTGAAATGATTGAAGTTGGGAGATGGGTATATGGTAGTTTGTTATACTATTCTTACAATTTCTGTATCAGAATTTGAGAATTTTCTCTAAGAGATTCTGGAAAAGTATTTTGGAGAAATCTATTTCTCTGTTACAAAGTCAGGGAAGGTACACTTAGTTTAATACAACGTCATTGTTTCTGAAACAACAGAAATCAAAACAGCAACAAAGTTCAAGAACTGTGACAGAATTTCTTCTCTAGCCCTTCTTGATGAAACGGGGAAAAAATGTGAAAGAGGAAATTTTTTTTTATTTGGATAGAAAAAAGGAAATTGCTTCCAAGTTTCTTTAGAGTCATCAGTTGCACTGCCATGTGCATACATAGCATAGTCTTGAAAGCACCTTGAAAAGTGGGTGTTTGATATGAACCCCCACTCGTGTGCCAGAGCAGCCATTTCTCAGTAGAAAGTAAAAGATGCACAGTACCTTCCTAGCAGCTTTTTAACTATTACAATTTTAAGATATTAATATAAAAATGCCAAATTTAAAACACTTATATCATTTGTATCTTTCAGATACTAAATGTTAAAGATTAAAAAAAAAGATTAAATTTTCTTTCCTTTCCTAAAATGAAAGTGAGTTTGTACTACACCTGCCTACTTTGCCAGAAAGATACCTTAAGCTTCTTAAATATCCATTTATTTATTTATTATCCATTTGAAGTGGGGAGGGAGAAAGGTGGGGGCCTATATTTTAAGTTTTACTCTGTGTCTTGACTGACTTGACAGATCATCCAAATTGATTCTCTTTGTGCGCTGGGAAATATTTTCTCGTTTTCATTCCTAACAAAATAATACTAAAAGTATGTACAACATCATTATTGAATAAAACACAAATTAAGAAGTCAAGTGTTGTGTCAGCCTTCAACCATAGTAACCAAGGCTCCAAAACTACTAGAAATCATCTAATCTGGCACCTTATTACTCATTTAAATAATGGTAACAACTCTTTGTGGCCTATTTTCATTTAAAAATAATAGGGGGGAAAGGAACACTTTAGCTTTCTATATGCTCACCTTGACAAGAATGAATCTGATAAAATATTGCTAAAATCAGATGTAAGGAGGTTTTCCCAGATAAGAAGTGATGCGTCATGGCTAATCCTATTTTATACCTAAGTGAATGCTCATATTATCTACTTAAGAAAGAGATGAGAAAGATTTTACTTCATTTTCTCTCTAGTCTACTTAGTGCACTGATAAGAAATAGCCCTAAAAAGTCCCAAGAAGATGTAATACACTTTCATTTCTCCTTTAGTCTTCTAAATTAGCTGGTAATAGCCCTTTACTGCTCACACCTAAATTTAAAGCACAGCACAGAATGCTGTCCTCCCTTTTGTCTTTGGGAATAGAATACAAAGAATAGTCAATAAAGAGTTACTGTGGGTAGCTGAGTAATACTCTGGGTTAAACTGATATTTTCCAGATTTGTCAGCTCTTGTCGAGTATGAACAGTGACCACAAAGCCACTTAACATTGAACTGACTTTACAAACAGATTGAATCTGTCCTGGAATGGAAAATTCTCATTACACATTCAGAGAGACTAAAACCCTTCCCATTCCCAATAAAATAATCCCATTATAATATTCCTCTTAGCCATGATATGGAAACATGTCCAAATAACACTGTGTGTGTGTGTGCGTGTGCACATGTGTGAGTTTGTCTGTGTATGTGTGTATATATTTTTGCTTCTGAAGCAATGCAGTTCACCATTACCACTTACCTCTGTTTTCTCTGGGTTACTCCAGTTCCCATAAACCGGATTAACAAATGCACAGTTAACACTTCCTTTAGTTTTCCTTGAAGCACACAGGACCATAAAAAAAAGAATAATTATTGAAATGTAGTACAGTACATTTCCAGGTTAGTACCTGGCAGACATCTTTGAGAGACACATTCTAGCCAGTATATTTTATTTTTATGAATGTATTACCATAAGTAAAGTTTTTATTATTTTTTTTCTTTGCAGGACACTAAGGCAACTACATTCTTGAAAGTAAATGTTATTTGACCTCTGAATATTTAAATCAAAATAAACACAGGGAGATAAAAAGTGGCATAAATTGGTCTTAAAATTGATTTCTTAAAGTATTAGGTAGTACAAAGGGTACAACATTGTAAAGAACCAGCTATACGGAAAGGCTACCTTAGACTTCAAAAGTGCCAAACCACCAAATCCTGAGGACTATTTTTAGTGACAGCATTTGTCATAAAAATCTATAGCAATGAGTCATTCTTTAACATTTTAAATAGCAAATTTAAATGTGAGTTTTTTGAAGAGTTCTTAGTGTTTCCTTTAAATGAATCATAAAGAGATGTGTCCTTGATAATCTCACATGTTGGTCTAGATCTGCTAATATACTCTGATTAACTGAACTCCTAAATGATCATTTTCTTTTTGTGGTTTACTTAATTACTTAAGAGTCCACAGACTTATTAGAAGATAACAAGCCTTGGAATACTTGGTCACAACTGTTGAGAATAAAAAATGCCCGCCAGGGGAACAAAAAATATAAGCAGATAACTAAATACACCCCATTAAAGATATACAGAATGATCCCATATATGTACACACAAAAGCATAATGGAGAATGGAAGACCAATTGCAGGATGATTGCCAGTGTCTTGAGGACAGCTAGGAGGAAAAAAATATAGTTACACCTGAGTATTTTTGCCTAATCAGGGTATAATGATAATAAGTCTGTCAATCATATACCCTTAAATCCTAAGGGAAAAGGCAGTAAAGAGGAAACTAACTTGTTTTTTGAAAAGAAATCTTCAGTTAATGACTTCTTATTGTCATCTACCAAAACACATAGTCCAACAGCCTAATCTGGGTAATTGTGTTTGGCTGGCAATGTGTCCTTTCTATTGATTCAGTCTTCAAAGCTTCCTAATCTCCACTATTTCTGTATAACTGGCTTAAATATTCAGTAGCTTAATCAGCTGACCCTCATTGAGTCTACATTTTGGGTGTCAATCCATAGGGGGAGATATACACACACACACACACACACACACACACACACACATATGTGTGTGTGTGTGTATATATATGTGTGTGTGTGTGTGTGTATATATGAGCTATATTTGTGGGTTATTACTGGAAAAAAATCATAGATATGCTCTTAAATGATGCAACAAATATCTGTTAATTCCTTAACTACAGTAAGTGAGTACTTGGGATTTGCTACAGTTAGGTTGAATAAGTGGTATTTTATTCTTTGCCTTTCCTTCCTTCAGGACTAGTAGTCAATGTAAACTTCTCAGAGTGGTAAGCTCAGTAAATGATACAGTTAGGTGCAGGCCTAGGCAGTGTTGCTTTTAGAATTGAGACTAGATAGGGAGTTGAACGGAAATTTCAGAGTATGTCACAATGCCAAAACAAAGGCTGGCACAGGAGAGACTGAACATCAAGGTAGGGAGTAACAAAACAAAATAGAAACTAGGAACTAGGTAAAGATCAGACGAATGCAGACACCACTCAGAAAAATTAATCTCAGGGTGCCTGGGTGGCTCAGTGGGTTAAGCCTCTGCCTTCAGCTCAGGTTGTGATCTCAGGGTCCTGGGATCGAGTCCCGCATCAGGCTCTCTGCTCAGCAGGGAGCATGCTTCCCCCTCCCTCTCTGCCTGTCTCTCTGCCTACTTGTGATCTCTCTCTCTGTCAAATAAATAAATGAAATCTTTTTAAAAAACATTTAAAAGAGAAAAATTAATCTCAGCTGAAATCAGGAAGCAAGAAGAAATCTAAACCATAGGCCTAGAGAGGACAGATGGTCCAAAGGCCAGGCAGGCAACCAGGAACTGAAGGGACAGGCTTGGCAGTCAATGGGATAGAAGTGAGGTGCAAGGAATACAAAAAGATGTGAGACAATTATTTTTGGCTTTGGAGCTAGAATCCCAAATGACCTATACCAAGATTGGCAGGCAGAAATCAGGTAAATTGATCAGTTTTCCAGTTGTTAAATTCAGGTATTGGAGCAACTTTTTCCCCCCCTGAGAGGATTTTAAGTCTTAAATAATTTTCTATTAGAATGAAAAAAAAAAAAAAAGACCTATAGGTGGTAGACTTTGGGGATCAGGTGACCACAAAGAAGGAAGGGTTGCACTTAAGGTAAGAATGTGAAGTTGTAGTAAAAGAGGAAAGGGTCATGGTATGAGTAGCAGAATGTGAGCAGTGGTAAATTTGTCCTTCCTTAAATTATGTTTATTAGCAGTCACAAACTACTACTGATTTTCCTATCAAGGGTATGTCCCCAAATAAGAACTGTTAGGCTTAATTTTTAATGTAGTTCCTGTTTATAGTGTAAAATATCACCCATCATCAATAGATACTTACATTAAGTAAATTTCTAGTGTCAACTCCGTACATTTACTATTTCAAGTACTATGATATAATTTTCCATATGTATCAATTATATATGTTTTATATTCAGACACAAAGAGTTTTACTTAAAGTGGTAGACCCTTCTATAAGGAAAACAAAACGTCTGTGAAGTTTTCTGCCAGTTCTAACACTGTAATGTATAATGATAAGCCTATATTAGGCTAAAAAATGCTACATTTAACTTAACTCTATCTGTCAGTAGGCATACAGCTCTAAAAGAGTTGAGGTTTCAAAGAATCTCACCACCTTCAGGAATCAGCAGGGAATTGACTTAGAAGTTTGGAGTAGAGAGAAAAAGGCAGCATGGATCACATGAGTTTTCCATCCATAACTTAATAATGCATTCACTTAAATTATTATTAAGCTCCTGCTGTGCCCAGTATGCATAGTAGCTATATAGGGTGGCATTTTGAATAGGCTGCAGAGAGATGTCATTACTGAACTAGGATAATTCCAATAGGAATTTCCAATTTAAATTTAGTGAGCATATGTATAACTCTAATGGATATCTGAAATTACCATATATGGGCAATGAAGAAAAAGAATAAAACAAAAACTCATTTTTGTTACATCTACTAAACATGACTTTGAGGTAAATATTCATGTGTATTTTAACAGCTTTATTCAATTATCACACATAATACAAATTTACTCATTTAAATATGATTCAGTGTTCAGTAACATTAATTTTATTATTTTTAAAACTTGTGAATATATAGGTAACATAAAATTTGACATTTTAACCACTTTTCAGTGTATAATTCAATGGCTTTCATTATTTTATTATTTTTTTAATTTTATTTTTTATAAACGTATAATATATTTTTATCCCCAGGGGTACAGGTCTGTGAATCACCAGGTTTGGCTTTCATTATTTTGACAGTGTTATGAACCATCACCTCTAGTCACAGAATGTTTTCATCACCAGAAATAGAAACTCCATAGCCACTAAACCATAGTTTCTCATTCTCCTCTTTCTCTAGCCCCAGGTAACCTCTGATTTCCCTTCTGTCTCTATGAATTTGCCTACTCTAGGTACTTTACATAAGTAGAATTGTACAATGTTTATCTTTTTGTGTCTAGCTTATTTCACTTACTATAATGTTTTCAAGGTTCACCCATATTGTAGCATGTATAAGGACTTCAGTAATTTTTATGGCTGAGTAGTATTCCATTCTGTGCCTGTGTTACACTTTGTTTACTCATTCATCTGATAATAGACACTTGAGTTGTTTCACCTTTTGGTCTATTGCAGATGATGTTATGAATGTTGACATGTGAGTATCTGAGTTCCCATTCAATTATATATCTTTTCACATGCTAATCTGCCATTTGTGTATCTTTATTGAAGAAATGTTTATAAAAGTCTGCTGCTCTTAATCTGGTGGTGGTTCTTTGTTATTGAGTTGTAGGAGTTTTTTTTGTAGATTCTGGATATTAAACTCTGATCAGATGTATGATTTCAAATATTTTTTTCTGTTCTGTAGGTTGCCCTTTTAGGATTTTTAAAGTATCCTTTGATACATGAAAATTTTTGATGAAGTCCAGTTTTCTTTTTGTTTTGTTTCTTAGGCTTTTGGTTTCATCTAAGAATGCATTGTTATCTTTTCACATGTATGTTGGTCATCTGTATGTCTTCTTTGAAAAAATAGCTATTCATGTCCTCTGCCCATTTTTTAATTGGATTGTTTTTTTGCCGCTGAGTTGTATAAACTCTTTATATTTTGGATATGAACCCCTTGTCAGATTATATCATTTGTAAATATCTTCTCCCATTCAGTAGGTGCTTTTTTGTTTTGTTGATGCTTTCCTTCGGTCTGTAAAAGCTTTTTATTTTGCTGTAGTGCCAATAAGCTTAATTTTGTTTTTGTTTCCCTTGCCAGAGAAGACCTGTCTAGAAAAGAAAAGTTTCTATGGCTGATGTCAAAGAAATTACTGCCTTTATTTTCTTCTAGGACTTTAATGGTTTCAGGTCTGTATCACATGATCAGTGAAATGCAAATTAAAACCACAATGAAGTATTACCTCAAAATGGCTAAAATAAAAAACCCAAGGATTAGCAAGTATTGGCGAGGATGTAGAGAAAAAGGAACCTTTGTGCACTGGTGAAGGGAATGAAGATTGGTATAGCCACTGTGGAAAAACAGTATGGATGTTCCTGAAAAACCTGAAAAAACAGAATTACTGTATGATCCAATAATTGCACTGGGTGTTTACCCAAAGAAAACAAAAACACTAATTCATAAAGGTACATGCACTCCAGTGTTTGTTTATTTTGCCTAAGTGCTCTGGTTAAGGTTTTTTTTTTTTAAGATTTTATTTATTTGACAGAGAGAGATCACAAGTAGGCAGAGAGGCAAGCGGTGGGTGGGGGGGAGGAGGAAGCAGTCTCCCTGCTGAGCAGAGAGCCCC